GTCTGAGGGTAACTGAACCCCACGAGCAGGAGGGGAGCCTGCAGGGGTGAGGGCCTGAGGATGGGGGTGGATGGGTGTGTCTGAGCAGGAATTTAACTTCGTGATTAGTCTACTGCAGTGGTAGATGTTAAAAAGACGGACTTTGCAGGTACAAAAATCTGGATTTAAGCTCTGATGCTGCCACTTAGTGACTGTATGGTCTCCCTAAGCCTCAGTTTCTTAGTCTAGAAAATCGGGATACCACTACTTACCTCAGAGGGTTGTTATAAGGATTCAACTATGCCTGGCACATAATCAGTCATTAACCGAAGGCATGTTAAATGGTTAGATGAAACACGAAAAGAGAGAATTTAGAAAGTCCCTGTCTACAGTAAACATCACCAACTAGCTCTATCTTCCCTGGTCTCACCACTCCAAAAGCCCGGATGCAAAGCACTGCCTATTTCTGAGGTGTACATACTCCCACCACAGCTGATATCAGATATCCACCAAAGTGACATCCCTGAATGAGGAGTTGGGTCAAGTTACACACATGTGTCTCTCATGAGCCAAAATGAGCTGGCTCCAATATATATGTCACCTTTTATAATTATTACAAACAGTCTGAAGAAATTAGGATTATATTGCTGTTAAAAAGTGTCTTAAATTCTTTTCTCGGAGCTACCAGATTGAGAAAAGCATTAACAAACTGTTATTTCAGAAATAGAGAACACCCATTTCAAGAACCAGATCAGTCAACCAGTCAGTTTTATCTTATCTTAAAGGCAAATTTTGCTTATAGTCGCAAAGATACAACTCAGTTGAAAAGTTTTGGCATCAGCATTCTGAAACCAAGCATCCCTCTATGCAGCTATTTCTATTTCTCTACGAAGAGCAATGTGACCCTTATTTTCCAGAATATATTAGGATTCTTATTAGTGAAAAAAGAGAAAAAGAGATGACTTAAAGAATGTCTGTGCTTCCAAATTTTGGTGTTAAGTTATAAAATCGAAACACACAAAAATTCTAGAAATAATAAACTATTTGAGTTTAAAGAGCTATATTTTTGGTAAAGAGTTAATGGTATATATGTTGACTTTGTTCTTTCTAGGTGCTCTTGAACATCGAAGTTGCTGTTACTTATTTATTCTTCTTTTATTTTTCCTTCCTGCATCCCCTAAACTCTTCCTTACGTGACTCTTCGTACAGAATCTGAAATGTGTATTTTATTATGTTACATCTATCAAATAAAGTTTGATGTCTCATCTTCTGGTTTAAATTTTTTTTTCCCTTAAGGATAAGCTACTTAAATGTTAAGACATAAAGTAATAGTCCCCCAAAGCTGTCAAATTGGATAAAAATGTTGTTTCTTTCCCAATTCTTCACAGTGTCTGACAATGATAGCTGCATGGCATGACGCCAGGACGTTTTATTAAGTAACACAGTCAACAACCAAGATCACAGATAACCATACTATTTAGGAGGAGTCAGGGGCAATTTTCTGGAAAATTGATTTAAATTTCTTCCTGTGACCTCTGAAGCTATAGTCTTTGCTCCTTCCATTTGCAGTTTGTTTCTCAAATGCCTACTATGAGCCACGCCAGCACTGGGCATAAAAATACAAGATGCTGTCCTCCAGGAACTAGCGCTCTGGCCCGGAGACCGGCCGCCTTCTGCACTGGCAACAGGAGGGTCTCGACGGTGTGCTTTGGGAGTCCGGGATGGTAAGTGATTCGTTCTCTTCAGAAAAATAACAGGTGAGCAGGAGAAATGATGGAAGCTGTTCCTGCTTATCTTCAAACTCTTATCCTCACTCACCAGGAAATCTGAACAGTTCACGTGAAAACCAGAGCAGGAGCTCTTAATCCCTCCTGGGAATTTAGAACCAAGAATTCCCAGCAACTATCTTCTTAACTTTACCGTGGTATTTTTCTTCTACGTATAAAATTATATTTGCCTAATGAAGAAAAAAAAGGTTTGAAATGTCTCCAGAAAATCCCCAAGCCTCATTTACCCATTTTATGTGACAGTATTTTCAACAATGAAAAAAATGACGCATTTGCCCATGTTTTGAGTTTTGCAATCATTTTCTTCTCTTTTCATGCTTTACAGAGGTCTCATGATACAGTGGGAATCAGAACGGGCTTATCACACATCCTGGCTCATACATTTACTCACTGCTTAGCCCCGGGAACATTATTTAATCTTGCTGAGATTCAGATTTCTATTCTGTACGATGGGGAAGATAATATCGACCACGTGACTTGTACAGACTAAAAGAATAAATATAAACGACCTAGCACCGTGCCTGGCAGATAGCAAGTGCTCAGAACAACATATGACAATAATGAGAACTGTGACATGTTATTATTACAAAGCTAATGACGCCCTAGAGTGCCTGAAAAGTTGATGATTTGAGAAGAAAATACTAAGAAACTAAAATAACTCACAAAATTAGTAGTGAACTTTCAGAAGAAAAAAAAAAAGTTAATTGACAATAATTTCGCAACCAAACATAGAACAACAAATTGGAAAGGGGACTGATGCAGTCAGTTGGCTGGTGCTCTCTCCTCCCTCAAACATGTTCCCCACGAGAGGAAGACGTAGGCAAAGTCAGTCATATAAGCATCCTGGGTAGTCCACTGTCCCAGCTGGGAGGACCACCGTGAGCAGCCCTCACTTGGTTCATTTCAAGTGTCACATAATCTCTTACCCAGTTCTTTTTTTTTAGGTACGTGCCCTTAGCGGGAACCGAACCCAGGACTCTCTGGTCCTCAGGCCGACGCTCCAACCACTGAGCCAAACTGGCCAGGGCTCTTACCCAGTTCTTTTGATTCTCTCTCCTTATGATTTCCTAAGTCCACCCGTTTCTGTTCATCTTTTGATTACTATTACAGCTTCATGAATGAACCAGCTGCCATCAATGCCTTCAATTCAGATTAATTTTTTAAAGATATTATTATTTGCCAAAACTAGTGCCGAGTCATTTTTCTCCCATTAACTCATTTAACTCAATCTTTATGATTTGCAGTATCAAGTATTGTTTAAGCATACACTTTTTGGAGTCAGATAACCAAAGTTCACGTTTTGGCCCTGGCATATTATAGCTATGCGACTTGGATAAGTTTCTTAATTTCCTGAAGCTTCAGTTTCCTCATCTTTAAAATGAGGAAAATAATACTCTCTCCATCTCATGGTTGTTGCAGTGACAGAACCCTTAGCACCAAGCCTTCTATTCAGGAAGCAGTCAATAAATGCTAGTATTGCTGTTCTCTAACATGCACACTTTTAGAAACACGTAGGATGATTCTAGTTACTGCCTACCTGTCCGATCAGTGTCAACATTTACAGATTAACCCTCGAGAAAATGATCCATAACACAAACGCTGTGGCCGAAACACAGTCCATAAATAATTGTGGCATCTCGAGAACTTAAAGCATTCTTTAAGAGCACTTGTTTACTTAGGCAAAGCTTTAGAAAGTGTTTTAAAATTTGGATGAATCGTATACAATGGACTCTGAGAATCCACAAATACAAATTTTTCACGGGACATTAGATGAGAAATCAAAGAGGCTATAAGACCCAAATAAAATGAATCCAAACAGCCAGAGAACTTTGGCAAAAGAGAAGTATATTTTCAAATGGGAAGAAGAAAGAGAAACCTCAGAAAGAACCCACGGGCTGCACACTCTAATGTCTAATGTCTGGGTAAGGAACATTACTGGTGAGGCCCGCTGGGTGAAAATCAGCATGGCAGGCTCCGCAGGGCTTGGCCATCCAGTCTGGCCTGTCTCCTCAGGTGGGACTAGGGGCAAAGGCTGCCTCACCTCCTCGCCCCCACCCCCTGCACCCAAAGCCAGCAATTCAGATGGTTTTAATCTGAAATTTTCTAACATGTTAGTGTATTTGGTAAAGTAAAATTTTAAAACACTATGTGAACTAAACAAACATGTGAAAGCCCAAGATATATTAAGAACAAATATCTCTTCTATAACAGAGTTATGACAAAAAGAAAGAAAGAAAGAAAGAAAGAAAGAAAGAAAGAAAGAAAGAAAGAAAGAAAGAAAGAAAAACTTGGGGGAACTTTATTATACATTTTTGTCAGCAGAAGAGAAAAGCAAAGAGACAGAAATAACATTTATTGACTCCTTACTATGTGCCTTACATTTTAAAATTTCATTGAGTCTTACAATTTATTAAGAAAAAACACGGTTCTCATTTTCTAGATGAGGCAACTGAGTCCAAGGATGAGAGAGAAACGTGCTTTTGGCCACACAGCTAGAAAATGGAAGGGCAAGACCCACCTGACCCAAACTCCACCCCTGCTCTGGTGGTCATTGGAATGCGTGCTCAGGCATTCAAGTACAGGGAGCATACTTTTTCAAGGGGTCATTGCGAAGCTCTGAACTACACTGCCTCGTTTGAACAGAGGCCACACCTCCCACAGCGGCTCCAAGCCAATGAAAGCATGCCATGTAGCTGATTGACAGGAGACTTGGTTCAGTCGCTACCTGAAGGCATTGCTCAACCTGTCTTAGGCTGTATGGCAGTCTAGGTTGTTTCTACCCCTTTTTCTCTCCTTCTGTCTTGCTTCTACCTCTTTTTCTCTCCTCTGTCTTTCAGACTTGAATTGCGGTCTAAGGGCTCTCTTGGACTTTCCTGGCTCCCTCCATTTTCTCTCACAATTATCATCCCTAATAAAAAATGTCACGCCTTTATTCATGTGGGTGTCTGCTTCTCAGAGTACCCTGACTAACCCAATTGCCATAAGCCCTCAGAAGTCCTGAAGTTGCCCGGGAAACCCTGACTTGGTCCATCAGGAAACCCTGAATAGACATCAATCGATAAGGGAAAATGCAACCATGCAATAGTAATTCTTTCTGAAAATTGGTACCTGTTTGGAACCTTTCATATCAATGCTGATGTCCCAGTAATGTATTAAATTGAGTGTATGTGACAACAACATCCAGGAACAGGTGCCAGTCCAGCCCAGGGTAACAGTCACTTATGCACAACTCACCTGGTCCCGCTGCTTGATCCTTTTGTAAATATATTCAGCAAATGGTTTGCGAGGAATATACCTCCCATCTCCTGCTGTGACATTGAAAACTCCGGCTTCATATACCACTTTGCCTCTGGAAATAGTCACTAGGGGCACCCCATGGCAAACCATGCCCTCGAAGATGTTGAAGTTAACAGCCTGATGGTGAGTTTTCGCTGAGATCGTCCTGTTTGTAAAAACAAGCCCAGATCATCACCAGCTCATCTGACAAATATAAAATATTAAAAGAATGAGAAGAAAATTTAGCAACTCTATTAGGACATAGCTTCCCACTAGAACAAGTGACTTTAAGAATAGAAACAGCATTAACATTTCATTACAAAGTAATTACATTTTCTGAAAGAAAAACCCAATAACTCATTTTTTATGGTGATTGATGAGGATGGAGTGGGTGGAGGGAAGGCATTGTCTCTCACATTTAAATTTTTTAAATTAGTATTTATGTGTTTAAAGAAAAAAATATTAATTATAAAACATTTCCAACACTGATGAGTCTGATGAACATGCTGAGCCAATATCAAGCTCTACAGAATTTCAATGTTTCACAGATGCCGGTGAGACTCTCTCTGTGACTTTCCCCAGGTGTCATTCCTGTTCCTCCCTTCACAGAAGCAACTGCTAATTGAAAGTTATCAAAGTTAATTTGATATTTATCAAGGCAAAATTATATCTTGAATTTCCTTCCCTTGTCTGAGGCAAAACTGGAAATTTGAGGATGATTAAAATAACAAAAATATGTTAGAATATAATCTCTTGGCATATTTAATGTCATGCATTTGTGTATTCATCATCACTCTCGGCAGCTTATTAATACAGTAGCCCCCCCATCCATGGTTTTACTTCCCATGGTTTCAGTCACCTGCAATAAAATGCAATCTAAAAATATTAAATAAAAAATTCCAGAAGTAAGCAATTTCTAAGTTTCGAATTCCGTGCCATTCTGAGTAGCATGATGAAATCTCATGCCATCCACTCTGCCCTGCCCAGGACACGAATCATCCCTTTGCCCAGTGTGTCCGCCACCTGCTCATTAGTCACTTAGGAGCCGCCTCAGTTATCAGATCAACTGTCGTGATAGCACTGTGCTTGTGTTACTTTACTTAACAATGGCCCCAAATCGCAAGCATAGTAATGTTGGCAATTTGAACATGCCAAAGAGAGAGTGTCTCCCTTAAGTGAAAAGGAAAAACAGTATATTAAGGATTTGGTACTGTCTGTGGTTTTGGGCATCGACTGGGGGTCTTGGAACGTATCCCCTGCAGATTAGGGGGCACTATTGTACTTTCAATCGTACACAGTATGATTGATGGCTCCCAGGCTGGATACTGGGAAATGTCAGATGTCTCCTTTTCCTAAATCTCATTAAATGGAAAAGGTGGTGGTGGTGAGGGGCTAGGGGTTGAATCTGGTAGCAGTAAATAATATGAGCATAATCTGAATTCTGGTCGAAGTTTCTACAAGCCTCCTCAGGAATGGATTGAAAATAAGTACTTGGTTAAAAACCCCAAGGCTGGGTCAAAGGAAGAGCAGACAAAGCTTCCCCAGGACCAAACTGAAGGGTGAAGCTAGGAGACTGGGCTTCTGTGTGCTGCAGTCCCAGGAATGAGTGAGACCATGCTGACTTGGTCCTTAGCTCCAGAATACCACACCCAACTACCTACTTGCTTCCAGCCCTAACATGTTCAAGCAGAACTCTTGATTTTCAGTGCCTACCGCTGCCCACCATTCACGTGTGCGTCTCCCTAATTTCTCATTTCAGGAAAGGACACTCGCATCTACCTTTCCTCACCCCTCAAACCATCATCAAGCCTGTTGGTTCTACCTCCAAAAAAATAAACCCCACCCCTGCTTGCTTCTCCCCCTCTCCCCTGCTCCCCACCACTGTCATCTCTCACCTGGAGGACTGCCACACCCCCTGCAGGCCTCACTGTCACCCTCTGACCTTCCTACCCTCCTCGCCACTCTTCAAAACGCTGCTCAAATGATCATTGCAAAACTAAATCCTATCATGTCACCTTCCTGCTTCAAAACCGCAATGGTTCCAATCTGCTCCCAAGAGCCAAATAACTGCTTTAAAAAAACACAGGTGATAATAACAAAATGAATCTCCTCCCAGTGAGAAATATCACCATGGAAAAGAGAAAAAGGAACCACCCATATACCACTTCAAGGTACAGAGTATTTCCTACACTTTACAGGAAAACAAATTGACATTTAGAGAGGTTAGGTAACTTATCAAAAGATATATGACTCCATAGTTTGATAAAACTGGGATTTTTTTTTTTACATCTTTTCTATATCACTATATCATTCTCTTTTCATGAATGTTGTTAAAAATAGAATCAGAGAATATGTAACCTTTTGAGATGGACTTTTTTTCATTCAGCGTAACTATTTTTGAGGTTTACCCAAGTTGTGTATATTAATAATGCATTCCTTTTTCACTGCTGGGTAGTATTCCATTATATAATGCACTTCAGAATATCCATTCACCTACTGAAAGACACATGGGTTGTTTCCAGTTTTTGATGGTTATGAATGGAACTGTTATAAACATTCATGTCCACATTTTGTGTCCGTACTTCCTGGTGTAAACACCCAGGACTGGAATCACTGGGTCCTGTGGCTGGTATATGCTGAGACAAAAAGGGCTTTCAGTGGCCCTAGGAACCAACTTACTGATGTAAAGAAAAGTCTAAAAGATCTGAAATGACATAAAAAAGATCCATAATGAATGGGAGGTAGGTACAAATACAACAATAATTTAAACACTAAGAAGGTGAGAAGGGTCTGCTCAAATAGTAACGTCACTAAAGTAGGAAAAGTGAATAAAATATATATAAAAGATTACTAAGTATAGAATGAGTTATGAGTTGGTGATGAAAGATATAAACTCAAAGAAAACCTAGGAAATAATAGAGAGGAACTTCAGACCTTCGGGTTAAAGTGCCTTTTTATGACCATTACACTCTCTCTGCGACAGCAGTTCCATAGTCTGGGCTGCTGCTGTCCCACGTATCACAGTTACACTGATGGCAGGAACTTTGCGCTTAAATTGTAGAATGTTACATAAACGTGTCTGGACTGATACATTAGTAGGCTGCCATATAGAGAAAGTATAATGCATAAAACTTCATGCTGAAGCAGTTATTGACATAGAAGAATGAGAGATGAAAACCCTAAATAATAAAACCCTATTTATGTTACTGCTTTTAAGAGTTATTGACACTCTTAAAAATAATCTAACAGCAGAAAAAAGCTCTGTACACAGAAATTGTCATCACAATATTGTGTAAACTGCTGAAAAACTGAAGCATAACAATTTTCCAATGAGTATCCAATGGAATACTGGGCATCTATGAACAACTAGAATTAAGAATATGCTGGAGAGCGAAGAACGCAACAATTATATAATACAAAGTGAAAAGTGTTATCGAAAATACATACTTTATATCTGCAAGGAAAATACATGTGGACAAGTACAAAAGGAACTATAGAAAGTAAACTGTCTTGTGGGCTAGGAAGACACAAATATGCAAAAAAATATAAAAGCAAAAAGGTCTGTGACCAAAAAAAAAAAAAAATCACATCAGATTTCTCTGCCTCAGCCTAATAAAGGTCACTCGCCTGGACACTCAGGACACTCAGCCTTCGGGTAAGCAAGAGGAAGACGCTAATTAGGCACCATCTAAGTGGTTCTTTATAATCAGGCATTACGTAAATGAGGTCAAATGAACACAAAATGTAAATTCTAGACATTATCACCAAAAGCAAGAGAAAAAGTACTTCTAATTTCACATCCGAAGGTGTTTGACAGGGTGTCATCCCTCCCCCAGCTTTTCCCTTCCCGCCAGATCTGCAGTCTCCGGCTCCGGCTGTCACACTTCCTCTGTCCCCGAATGCACTACGCATGTCAAGCCTGCCCTCCCACTTTCCTGAGACTCTGCTCAAGAACCTTGGTCTCACGTCAATTATATCTCAATGAACTTAAAAAAATAAAAAGAAAGAAATATCCCGGTCCCAAGAAACCGACCCTGAGGACCCAGGGCAAAGCTGAGCATTTTTTTTAATCCTCACCTGGGGACATTTTTCCATTTTTGTTCAGATGGAATAGGAGGGAGAGAGAAAGAAAAAGAGAAACATCAACACAAAAGGGTCACATTGAGTGGTGCCTCCTGCATGACCCCGACCAGGGCTGGTATGAATCGCAACCGAGGCACATGCCCTTGACTGGAATCGAACCTGTGACTCATTGGTCCTCGGGCTGACCTCTAACTGCTGAGCCAAACTGGCCAGAGCTAAGCTGAGCATCTTTGTTTTCTGGATTATCATGATCTGAATCCACTGCAATGACCTTTTGCTAAGTCCCTCTTCTCTTACTTGGTGGACACTTAAGAAAGAGACCACCTGAGCAGTGTAACAGAGGGGACTGTGTCTCCAAAGAGGAATCCTTGTAGCAACTTAGGGAACTTGCCTCTAAGAGACAAATGTAACCTGGGAAAATATTATTACCCCCAACATTTAAACATTTTCCTTTGAGAAGGATGGTATTTGCCCCCCGTGCTGCGCATAGCAAAGCTAAAGCAAGTGGGAGAAAATACAAAGAAACCAAGTTTACTTCAATATGTTATCGTTTTCAAAAAATTAATAATGAAAGAACCACATACTGATGTTTTTCATCTTAGAATAAACAAAACCCATCTATTAAAAATAAATAAATAGTCTGGCCAGTGTGGCTCAGTGGTTGAGCATTGACCCATGCACCAAGAGGTCGCCGGTCCAATTCCCAGTCAGGACACATGCCCAGGTTGTGGGCCTGATCCCCAGTGAGGGGCGTGCAGGAAGTGACCAATTGATGTTCTCTCTCATCGATGTTTCTCTCTCTCTCTCTCTCTCCCTTCCTCTCTCTAAAATCAATAAAGAAAATAAATAAATAAATAAATAAATAGCCCTGGCTGGTTTGGCTCAGCAGTTGGAGCGTCAGCCCTTGGACCAAAGAGTCGTGGGTTTGATTCTGTTCAAGGGCATGTACCTCATTGCAGTTTGCTTCCCAGCCCTGGTTGGGGTTGTGCGGGAGGCAACCAGTCAATGTTTCTCTCTGTCTCTCTCCCCCTCCCACTCTATCTGAAGATAAATGGAAAAATATCCTTGGGTAAGGTTTTCAAT